ACAATCACCACGACAATGGTATGCCAAGCTTTATGAAGCCTTGACCTCTCACGGCTTTAGTCGAGGTGAAAGTGATCATTCACTTTTCACATCCCAAAGTGAGAAAGGTATCATCGTGTTACTTGTATATGTAGATGACATTATCATCACTGGTAATGATTCCCATGGCATTGAGAAAACAAAGCTTCTATTACATAATTCTTTTGATATTAAAGACTTGGGTGAACTTAGGTACTTTCTTGGTATAGAAGTAACTCGATCAAGCGATGGGTTATTTCTATCTCAAAGAAAGTATACACTTGATCTCTTGAGTAGTGCAGGTAAACTTGGAGCAAAACCAGCAAAGACTCCCATTGAAGTAGGCTACAAGTATCAACAAGAGGGGGAACTACTTGAAGACCCCGAACGATATCGGAGAATTGTAGGTAAGCTTATCTATCTCACAATTACTAGACCTGACTTGTCGTTTGCTGTGGGACAGGTAAGCCAATTCATGCATGCACCAATGACTCGGCATTGGGGGATGGTAGAAAGGATACTCAAATACCTCAAAGGATCACCGGGTAAAGGGATTTGGATGAACCAGAACAAAAAAGTCGACATTGTCGGATACTGCGATGCAGATTGGGCCGGAGATCAACAAGATAGGAAGTCAACCTCGGGATATTGCACATTCATCGGAGGAAACTTGGCAACTTGGAAAAGCAAGAAGCAAAATGTTGTGGCAAGATCAAGCGCCGAAGCAGAGTACCGTGCCATGGCAACAGCAGCGAGTGAGCTCATTTGGCTTAAAGGACTCCTCCGGGATCTTGGTCTAGCCTCGGACGAAGCCATACCATTGCACTGCGACAACCAAGCTGCTATCCACATCGCAGCAAACCCGGTATTCCATGAGCGAACCAAACACATAGAGATTGACTGCCACTTTATTCGCGAGAAGGTCACTCAAGGAATTATCACAACACCTTACACTCGAAGTGAAGATCAATTGGCTGACATGTTCACCAAGGCTCCCAATGTCAAGAACCATGAAGACACTCTATCCAAGCTTGGTGTTGTGGACATTCACAAACCAAGCTTGAGGGGGAATATTGACGAAAGTACGAATATGGAATCCTCGGACAGCCTTGAACGTGACACACAATCAACCGAAGTCATTGCACAATCCAAACCATGACTCTAGTGAGAATATCTCCTCTCTGCTAGAATCATGCGTACCAATTCCTCTCCATATCACATTATTTCCATTCTTCTTTATACAGTATCGTTGTTTCCTTTTTATTCCTAGACTAGTTTTTCTATTTATTTGTAAAACTTCCATTATGTGAATATACTACAGAATTCTTTTCTATTCTACATCTCTCTCCTTCTCGGCATTATACTAGCTGAGTAAGGACAATTCTTCTTCTATACCTTAAATTTATTAAAGATTTCATGATCAACTAGTGGCAGAATCTGGTCTCCAGCTTGATCACCTGTCGATTCATTACTTAGGCGTCCCCTTGAGCCCTTGCAGACCGTCTCACTCAGATTACCAACCTCTGATCGAAAGAATCAAGGCAAAACTGATAGCTTGGAGGACTAGGTTTCTATCCTTTGCGGGTAAGATCCAGCTAATTTCCTCGGTTATTTATGGCATGGTGAATGCTTGGAGATCAATGTTTCTACTGCCCAAATACTTCACTAAGATTATGGACATTTTATGCGCCAACGTCGTATGGAACTCATCAGCATCAAGCGTCCACCGAGTAGCGTGGGACTCGATCTGTAAGCCCCGAGAAGAGAGAGGACTAAGGCTGAGAGCGTTTTCTGACTATAACCTGGTCTTCAGATTCTGACTAATAATATGGTTGGTGCTCACCAAAGCTGGATCATTATGGATAGCGTGGTTGCATCATTTCTACCTAGAAAAGCGAGGGCTCTGGGACACATCTCCATCGACCAGAATGTCTTGGAACATGCGGAAATTGCTGCAAATGAAGGAGAAGGCGATAGGATTTATTAAAATACAGTTGGGAAATGGTAAAGTGGCAAAGTTCTGGCTTGATAATTGGACCAACCTCGGCCCTTTGATAAACTACATAGGGCATCAAGGCCCTAGAATACTGCGACTGTCGAAGTTGAGCACTGTTAACGCTGCCACAACCGAGAATGGTTGGACCCTCCCAGGGGCTCGCTCGGAGAAAATCTAGCAGCTACACATAGTCCTTGCCTCCTTGTCCCCACTTCTGAGGCTTGGGGTCCGGATATAGTCTTATGGAAGCAAGGGGATGACATTTTCAAGCCTTGTTTCTCCTCTGCTAAAACATGGACGCAGATATGTACGCGATCATGCCCAAAGCCGTGAACGAAGCTGATCTGGTTTCAACTTTCTACTCCACGGATGGTCATTATCCAGTGGCAAGCTCTTTTACGACGCCTTCCTACTACGGACTGTCTATCACGCTGGGTTATCGAAGTTGATACTAAGTGCCCCCTATGTCTGATTGAAGAAGAGTGACACGACCACCTATACTTCGTTTGTCCATACAGCGCAGGACTTTGAGAACATTATGCAACCGCCTATTGGTCGTCTCCGCCAGGTACTCTATTGGACTGCCCAGACTGGTTTGGGGTGCAATCCCATGATGAAAGTAGGAACCGTCGTCTCCTGGTCAAGCTTATCTTGCAGGTATCTGTCCATCTTATTTGGCGGGAGCGAACAATAGGATCTTCCAGCAACTCTCCAAACTTGTGGTTGTGTTAAGGAGAAAGCTAGACAGATATATCAGAGACATCATCCTTGCCAAGCAGCGGGAACAACAACCCCGATTCAACTCTCTCCTAGAAGATCGGTTTCACGTGACGCTTGATATAACTCGTGCGCTGTAACACATATACGCTGGTGTAGAGCGTAGCAACATTCACATGGTGTTCATTGTCTTTTGATTCCGGTCTATTGACTTGGCGTGTAGAAATACTATTTTTGACATATATATATATATATTCACATTGAAAATATATAAAAAAAACTATTATAGATTACTCATTTCAATAACTAGACTAACGAAACTACAATATAAACATATATTTTTTTTTTCTATTATGCTCTGACGGTGAACTTCGTCCTGCTCCACCAAGGACAATGCATTACGAGTCGTTCATTATCTCAAAAGATGTCTAGAGCAAAGAATTATATTACGCTCCGACAGTGAACTTCATCTCGCTCCATACTGTGATTCTATACTGTGACTCTAATTGGATTATATGTCGTGTCTCACGAGGATAAGTTACTGGTTACATCATCTTCCTCGGTCAATTTTCTATATCATGGAAAATGAAGAAACATAGCATTGTCTCGCGATTATCGTCCGAAGCAGAATATCACACATACATATTATGAGTTCAAGTGAATACATCAAATTCTTGAAATTCTCAGGGTCGATGTCTCAATTCCTACATCTTTGTTTTGTGACAATCAATGTGCTCGACATATTGCTTAGAATCTGATGTTTTACGAACGTACCGAACACGTTGAGATTCATTGTCATTTTGTTCGAGATGAATTCAACGTCGGACGAATGATTTTTTTTACACACATGACGTCGGAGCAAGTTACAGATATTTTTACTAAGGCAGTTGCTAAACACACGTTTGATCATCTTCTCACCCTAAACCCTAAATCCCGATTTCGATCACGATCCCGATCGAACCCGAAACTTTGAAATTTAATTCTCGAACTCACTTTTCATTAGATCATCTATCATCCCACTATTCTATCACAATATCCTTTAACACTAGAGTTTCAATTGATAATCATCCAATTGCTCCAAATTAAACTTTTGATATCATTTAACATTAATATATATATATATATATAAATATTTATATATATACATATATATATATACATATATATATATATATATATGT